TCAAAATCCTTGAAGAGAACACAGGCAGCAACCTCTTCGACCTCAGCCGCAGCAACTTCTTCCTAGAAACATCGCCAAAGGTAAGGGAAGCAAGGGCAAAAATGAACTATTGGGACTTCAAGATAAAAAGCTTTTGCACAGCAAAGGAAACAGTCAACAAAACCAAAAGACAACCAACAGAATGGGAGAAGATAATTGCAAATAACATATCAGCTAAAGGGCTAGTATCCAAAATCTATAAAGAACTTATCAAACTCAACACTCAAAGAATAATCCAATCAAGAAATGGGCAGAAGACATGAACAGACATTTCTGCAAAGAAATCCAAATGGCCAACAGAAACATGAAAAAGTGCTCAACATCACTCGGCATCAAGGAAATACAAATCAAAACCACCTCACACCAGTCAGAATGGCTAAAATTAACAAGTCAGGGAACGACAGATGTTGGTGAGGATGTGGAGAAAAGGGAACCCTCCTACACTGTTGGTGGGAATGCAAGCTGGTGCAGCCACTCTGGAAAATAGTATGAAGGTTCCTCTAAAGTTGAAAATAGAGCTACTCTATGACCCAGCAATTGCACTATTGGGTATTTACCCCAAAGATACAAATGTAGTGATCCGAAGGGGCCCGTGCACCCCAGTGTTTATAGCAGCAATGTCCACAATAGCCAAACTATGGAAAGAGCCTAGATGTCCATCAACAGATGAATGGATAAAGAAGAGGTGGTAGTATGTATGTACGTACACACACACACACACACACACACACACACAGAGACACACAATGGAATATTATGCAGCCATCAAAAATCCGAAATCTTGCCATTTGCAACGATGTGGAAGGAACTAGAGGGTATTATGCTAAGCAAAATAAGTCAATTAGAGAAAGACAATTATCATATGATCTCACTGATATGAGGAACTGAGAAACAAGACAGAGGATCATAGGTGAAAGAAGGGAAAAATGAAATAAGATGAAACCAGAGAGGAAGACAAACCATAAGAGACAATCTCAGGAAACAAACTGAAGGTTGCTGGAGTGGAGGGAGGCAGGAGGGATGGGGGGACTGGATGATGGACATTGGGGAGGGTATGTACTATGGTGAGCGCTATGAATTGTGTAAGAATGATGAATCACAGACCTGTACCCCTGAAACAAATAATACATTATATGTTAATAGAAATAATTAAGAAAGAAAAAAGACAACAGTTGGTGAGGATGCAAAGAAAAACGAACCCTCATTCGCTGTTGGTGAGAATGTAAATTGCTGCAGCCACTGTGGGAACCAGTATGGAGTTTCCTCAAAGAAAAAAAAATTGAATATGATCCAGTAATTCCACTACTGGGTATTTACCCAAAGAAAACGAAAGCACTTATTCAAAAAGATATATGCATCCTTATGTTTACTGCAGCATTATTTACAATGGCTAAGATATAGAAGCAACCCAAGTATCCACTGATAGATGAATAAAGAAGATAGTATACATACACAATGGAACATTATTCAGCTATTAAAAAAGAATGAGATCTTGTCAGTTGCAACAACATGGACAGACCTGGAGAGTATAATGCTAAGTGAAATAGACAGGGAAAGGCAAATACCATGATTCCACTCATATGTGGAATTTAAGAAACAAAATACACAGAAAAAAGCAGACTCTTAAATAAAGAGAACAAATTGGTTGCCAGAAGGGAGGTGGGTCGCGGGATGGGTGAAATAGATGAAATGTAAAAATAAAATAAAAGAAAATAAAGAAAAAGGATGTGTAAGAGAAAATGCTGGGAATTAAATTTGGAAAAGTAGGTTGGGATCAAATTATGCAAGATATTAAATTGCTTTTAACCACTACTTTTCCCTGCAAAGAGGAACTTAAAAAGCACAGCTAACTCCTGCTTTCATCCTTTTGTTACAAAATTCCCCAAAATATACTCTTATAACCTGTAAGAATGACTTGGATTACATACAGATGGCTTCTTAGAAATTTTCTACCCTTCCTATTACCTTTTCTTTACTGTTAAGTTCTTTTGGGAAAAATGTTCTTAGTCTTTAAAATTCCCTCTCACCCCACAGCCGAATGACTACACAGTTAACTGCATCACAAAAAAAGAGAGACAACCAAACATCAAGTACTTCCTGATTGCAGTGAACAAGTATTCCTGAATAAAAGAAAATCTTATCTGAAACTGATCAAACCTGAAAATCCAATTACCAATTTACAGAAATACAGGAGACAGAGGAACATGTTGTAAGAATCATGGAGATACCATCAGCAAAAATCTAGACTCTGGAAAAGTCTTTAAGGCAAACAAGCTGTATATCAACAAATAATTATCACACATACAAACAAAATGATGCAAGTGAATATAGATTAAGAAGAGATTTAGACATATCAAACAATGAAATACAGTCTTTATTTGAATTCCTACTTGATTTTTTAAAACAACTGTGAGATAATTGGGCATATTTAACATTTGATGATATTAAAAGAATTATTCTTAATTTTTTTAGATGTGATAATAGTATCATGGTTTTTTTTAAATCCTAAAAAAGATAAATAAAAATGCTTATCTTTTAGAGATCCAACTGAAATATTTACAGATCAAATAACATATCAGTGATTCATATCAAAATAAGGGGGATAAAGGATGGTGGAAGGAATTATGAGGGAAAGTGTATGGGATACAGCTACAACAACAAGCATAAGTTGATAATTTTTGGAGTTGAGTGATAGCAAAGGATTCATTTATTATACTGTCTACTTTTGTATATATTTGAAATTTTTCCACAAAATTTCAAATATATGGGTCTTTAAATTTTGGTTCTTAATCAAAATATTCTGCCAGATAGAATACCCATATAAATTTTCTAAGAAAAAATACTGCATAAATCTGATAATTAAAGTGGGGTTCCAAAAAAAGCATTACTTACCAGTGGCTCCAAAGGCATCCAGACATTCCAAAGGTTTTCGTTCCTCAGCCAAAGCAGCCAATGTACAGAATATTAGCTGCCTAGAAGAAAGTATAATGATTTGAAACAATTTTACTGTACCATGGCTTCATCACTGTAGATTTTATTTTATTTAAGAATAGTGAGATGGGTAGCCTGGATGGCTCAGTCGGTTAAGCGTCCCAACTCTTGATTTTGGCTCAGATCATGATCTCAGGGTTGTGAGATCAAGCCCCACACTGGGCTCAGAGGAGCATGTGAAGCCTGCTTAGGATTCTCTCTCCCTCTCCCTCTGCCCGTCCCCGACCTCTTGCTCACACATTCTCTCAAAAAAAAAAAAAAAAAAAAAAAGAATAGTGAGAATTGGGGCTCCTATTTACTGTACAACCTGTTTTAAAAGAAGACTGAGTAATATATTCCTTTCCTAGTAGTACAAGAACTAAACATTTGTGAAATTAAACTATCAATCTAATTGGGTTTTATAAACAAGCATTCACCATGAATAATAATTTCATAAATAAAACTGCCTACAAAAGCACCAGCCTGTTCATTAATTATATAAAGTTAGGCTTATTTTACTCTCTGAGAAAGAAATTAGTTTGGTAGGAAAAAAGAAAACAATCATTCTGAGAAAATACTAAAACAGATGATTTTCACTCTGTACCTAAATTTCACTATATTAGAACATAAAGATTAAGGTAAGGTAATCTGTAATAATTTGAAACATCCCATAACCCTTTTTCCAATTTATCTTACCGATTTAGTTTCATTTTGGGATTAAAATAGGAATCTGTTTTTTGAGGTATAGAATAGTTAGGACAAACTTGTACATCTGTGTCTGCCTCTTTCAAAATTTCATTAGGTGGTTTTGCAGCAGAAGCTAAAATGAAAAAAAAAAAGATTTCCAGTGAAATACAATAATTCTAAATATCTAAAACAATACACATTAAAAGAAATAACTTTCCTTTATAATACTTTGTTAATGTAATCAATTACGTAAATAATGAAAAAAGAAAAACAACCCAAAACTGATTTATTCAGTACTGTCTCTAGGAAAGAGTTGCACTCAAGTATTTGGTGAATTAAAGTTTATTAAGTTAAAATCTTATCTGCCAAGAACATCAATATATCTGTATTACGAAACCTAGTTAAGAACAATAAGCCTAAAATAAAACAAAATCTGGGACTCCTACTCCTGGGTGGGTCAGTCGGTTAAGCATTTGCCTTCGGCTTAGGTCATGATCCTAGGGTCCTGGGACTGAGTCCCACATTGGGCTCCTTGCTCATCATGGAGCCTGCTTCTCCCTCTGCCTGCCACTCTCCCCTGCTTGTGCGTGCGCTCTCTGACAAATAAATAAAATCTTAAAAAAAAAACCAAAATCCTAAAATACCTTTATTGTTCATCAACCACTATACTGTGTTTACATAGGTTGGCTGCTAAATATATCTTACTGTAATATAATGGTTATAAAGTTAGGATCTCTGTTTCATTCCATAGGCCATCACGGATGACTAAGAATCACTATACTTCCTGAACATGCTTGATTTCAGAACACTTTCTTATAACTACAATTATAAAACATAAATTATATTCAAATGGGTATGAAGTAATGGGGAAAAAAAAAGTCTACATTTAGTATACATTAGAATCACTTAGATATGAACCCAAATGAAATACTGATGTGTTTGTGTGTGTATATTTTAAATATTTAAGAAATGAGACATATATATCTCTGTGGGAAAAACAGATTCTTTATGTATGGATTTCTTGATAATATTATAATCAGAATGTTAACTACATGGCAACCATATTTCCCTTTTTACAGTGCCAAATCACAGTTAACATTCCCTAGCATTGTATTTTATATTCTTCTACACCTACCAAAGTGGCATGTGACGTATCTCAAAAGATCAGCCTTTCTCAAACCAGATTCTATGAAAATATTAAGCTCTATAGAAAATTATTTCAGTATTTTTTTCAATTCTTGAAAGAAAGGTACATAAAACCATTCTAGATGTATATGAGAGAAGTTAATTCATTACATACAATGGATATCTTAGGGCATGAGGTCTTAATTCTTTTTTTTAAAGATTTTATTTATTTGTCAGAGAGAGAGAGCACACGCATAAGCAGGGGGAACGGCAGGCAGAAGGAGAAGTAGACTCCCTGCTGAGCAAGAAGCCCAATGTGGGACTCGATCCCAGGACCCTGAGATCATGACCTGAGCTGAAGGCAGATGCTTAACCAACAGAGCCACCCAGGCAGCCCGTTAATTCTTAAGAGGGGCTGCTTCAGTAATAATAAGCTATTAATAACCTGATTATCACTTCAGCATAATAAATGGTCTTTATATAACTCTACTTCCTTTTTTGAGTGTTTTTCAACAGTAAGTATAACATAGCTATGTATAATCTTTCATTAAGATACCTATGTTTACTTTGGCATCAATCACTTTTTTTACCCACATTAAATGTATTTGTTAAACTGAGGACAGTTGATTGTTGTTGGGAGCCTCACAGAAAGAAAACGAAACCTGAAGTAATGGATTAGTAGTTAACTAAATGATTTGGTTAAGTTCCTATATTTTATCTACCTGATGTCTGAGAAGAACAACTGGACCACTGTTTAAGGATTTACTTATCAACATATGTTAATGAGATTGCTCAACTTACCAACAATATACCTGGATTTCGTCTCTCCTTTATTCACATGTCGTCTAACATGTCCCAGCATATCGGTCCTTCTGGTGATTGTTGCTGAACAAATGATACAATGATAATGGGCGCCCATTTTACTGGATATCTATCAAACAGAGTATTTAATTTAAATGTACAGATAAGTTATTGAGACAATGAAACAGAAATTTAAGATTGCAAATTTAAGTATTTTAGTCTATCTTGTGCTTAATGGTGTAGAAGATAGTATTAATATTGCCATCCAACTTTGAAGGGATCTTCACTTCCTTATCTATATTTATGCATGCTTTTTACTTACTTTATAATTGACCAAAACTTTGTTTTTCCCATTCATTCTAGTCAGCACATAACTGTACTCTATTTTTTTAAGTAGCACCTATAAAAATGGCATAAAATTAGCAGCACTGTGTAACAATTTTCTCCAGGAAAATAAACTCCTGATTTATAATGTTTGCAGCTTTCTGTGGTATGTGTACTCTACCATGTTCAACTTTAAGTTACAATTGTGTCAGATTTCAAGCTACTGATGTGACATCACTGAATGTGAGTCTGGGAAGAGAGGTGTAATATCCTACTAGAGAGCATGGTTACTATGCAGATATATTTATAAAGAACGCAGACAATAGTAAAATAAATATCAGGAAGTAATGAGATTTGAGTACTCACTACCTTTGTTTGTAATATAATTTATGCACTTTAAAATTTATACAATTTAATTTTTAATGATGGCCATTTTTAACAACCAGCTTTCAAGGTTTCTAGAAATACGAGCTAGTTTCACCATACCACTGAATGTTAGAAACGTAATAAAAAGTCTAATAGTCCAAGTAAAAAATTTTCACTTTATAATTTCTCATTTAGCTGAGAATAAAGACTACTCCAATGGCTTTTTCCTACTTTTGATGCCTTTTACCCTTAGAGCTTCTACCTCCTATTTACTTGGGCTCAAATAGGAAATAGAGAATAGTCGAGAACATTGCATAGGGTTCCTTGTAGTACTGTCGGTATCAGATTCAAAATGTCCTGGATAGGGTTGATGGACCAACCATTGTCCTGACTACTGCTTAAGAAATGCTTGGGTTTTTTTCTCCCCAGCACTTTACTCTTTTTAGTGACCTGAAAAAAAATTAATAACGAGGACTTCTTAAGCTAATATGCATTCAGGATAGTATTACTAAAAAATATTTTGTAATTTGTATCCCCCCAAAATTAAATGTATCCTAAAAATGAACATAAGTACTTTTAAAGATATTATTAAGATTTCAGAAAGTTTCTTGATTCTGTCCATTGACAGATTAAAAGAAAGAGCATAAAGAAGGTAAATACGAATTGACATACTAAGATATTTACTAAATCGCAGATATTGAAGGCTCTTATTCCATAATCAAAATTTATTTTAAAAGAAAAATATTACTTTTTATTTAAATTCTCCATTCCAAAATTAGTAAACAGGGTAACTTTCCTTTTGAACACAAGGGAAAAATTTATCTGAAAATTAAAAACTATAATGAAAAGTTCAATACAGCAACTCTTTTTTTCATATATCTCATATTTTTCATGCTATGATATTCTGAAAGCACTAAGATACAAAATCTTAAAGTAAACCTCATTGCCAAATATGCCCCCAGCCTTAAAGCCAAGTAAAAATTGTGCTTTCTTTAAAGAGGGCTAAATTTAAAAAGAAATCTAACATCTGATTACCTGTTCTCCAATAATGTTTGGTTTCACTGGTCGACAAGGTAAGTGACAGATGCACATCCTGTAACCTAAAGTGAAGAATTGATGGTTGTCATATCATTGTTCATTAAATATTCAATTATCATTAAAAATTATTAGCAAATTTTATTTTGTAAGAATAACTGGATTCTTCTTTTATTTATAAGGTCATAATTTATTTGAATGAGACTTAGTTTTATACATTTGTTATATAAGATATAGTACAAAAACAAATATATGAGATCCAGGTTTGAATTCTGGTTCTGCCAAGACTATGTGTTATCTTGGATTTGTCATTTAGCTTCTCCGAGACTCAACTTTATCATCTATTCTCTGACATTGTGACTTTTTCTTAGGCTTCACCTTCTTTGCCTCAAACTACCTTTGCCATTACACAGCCTCTTTATGATAGGGCACTTAGCTCTCTTCCATCCTTCTTAATCTTCCTCACATGTCCTCTTCTCTCTCTTCTACTCTAAAAGGTAGATTTTCTATAGGCTTGATCTGCTACATGACTTTTCCTCCTCATTTCCTTGGTAACTTTAATGCCTTTTATGGTTGCAACTATCTCCCCTGGGGGAAGGAATTCCAAATTCTAGCTCTAGTTACTAACTCCTTCCTGAGGACTGGATCTCTATTTCTGATTGCCTGTTGAGGATGTACCACTGGGTTATCGGGTATTTCAAAATCTGTCAAGGACTAAATATATCATTTCGTCTTGAACCAGGTCTCTTTTTCATTTTTTAAATAAATGATAATGCCTTCCAGTTGTCCTAACTGTTAAGTGATCTCTAACTCCTTTCTTCTCATACCTTGCATCTAATTGTTTCTCTTACTTGTACGTATGGAAGTATCCCAGGACGCAGCAACCTTTTTTTTTTTTCCCATTGATAGGTACTGCTATGGTTATCCCATCCAGTCTTTTTTTCTCAAGATTTTATTTTATTTATTTGAGAGCAAGAGAGTGAGAAAGAGAGAGAAGCATGAGAGGGGGAAGGGTCATAATGAGAAGCAGGCCCCCCGCTGAGGAGGGAGCCCGATGTAGGACTAGATCCTAGGACTCCGGGATCATGACCTGAGCTGAAGGCAGTCGCTTAACCCACTGAGCCACCCAGGCGCCCTATCCCATCCAGTCTTGTGGCTTTAAATACCATCTATATTCTGAGAATTCCCAAACGTATATCTCTAGTCCCAACCTTTCCCCCAAACTCAAGATTCTACAGGCTACTTGACATCTCCAGGAGATGCATCTAAACCTTGGCACGCCTAAATCTGCAGGCTTGGCCTTTTCCCCCATACCTGGTCCTGATGCAGTCTTCTCTGTTCAGCAAAGGATACCACCATTTTTATAGCTGCTCAAGTCTCAAGCTCAAGCATAATTAGCTTATTTCCCCTCACATCTCACTTTTTCTATTCCTTCAGCAGGTCTTATTGCTTCTACCTTAAACATATTTGCCAACTACTTGAGACTTGCTTGCTAAAACAAAAACTGTGATACTTGCCATCTACCAGATCACCACCATGCGAAAAAACCCAACAACTTAATGTACTTAAGAAAGTAAAGAAATGCCATGAGCCATTTAAGAGATGAGAATAACTTGGAAGACAAAGACTAACCTAAGGGTTAAACAATGGCTTAAATAAAGAATACAAAAAGAACTTTTTGATAAAAGGCATGATTTACTACACTTTCTTATAAATAATTAAACATAAAAGGCAGGATGGCCTCTGATTTAGTCTCTAGTTCCCCTTTCCCTAAGTAACTAGTGATAACCTTTTACCAGTACTACTAAGAAAATAGTTCTGACTTCTTTTCTGGGTGTCTCATACCGGCTATTTCATCCAGTTTGGTTAAAACTCCAGATAACCACACTTAGCAACACCTATGCTCACAAAATCATATACAAATATAATTATGCATATGCTTAACATGGATATTTAGGGCTTTTTTTGGGGAGATATTTTTTGTTTTTATCTAAATGTAGTATCTTAAAATCTTACACACACACACACACACACACACACACACACACTGCTGTTTTCAATAGCAGTTTATAGTGAAATCCTTCCAAGTAAGCTAGTATGGATCTTATACTCTACAATGGCAGCATAATATTTCATGGTATGTACACACCATAATACAGTCAACCAACCCTCTTTTATTTTAGTTTCAAGTTTCTGTCACTAAGTAAATGCTGCAGTGAATATTCTTGTACATCTATCCTTATCAACTGATTCTTTTACTCCCAAAAGAGGGAGTACCTGGTGGAGAGATAAGCGTTTTTTAAATTTTAAAAATGTTGCGAGATCTCTTTCCAAAAATGCTATAATAATTCACATAATTCACTCTCAGAATCTAATAACTGATTTTATCTAGGAAGTCTTTTAACTTGGTAAGATCTCATTTTTTTTCTTTAATTTTATTCTTTATGAGATCTCTTATTTAGTCCCCCAAATTGTGTCATTTTTGTCACTACTATAATTGGCGCCTTTTTTCTAATTTCCATTTATATAGAGTAGAGAAAGGTTATGATTTCAAATATTTATCTTATATCCCACTACTCTTACTAACTCTAATCTTTTTCAGCCATCAGCAGAAAAAAAGACATTGTCTTTTTTTCCAATATCCATACATTTTATTTTGTTTTCCATTTCTCTTTCAAAATTATGTGTCAGATGGTAGTTGTTCTAACATAAAAGAAAAAGAATAACTTTTTAAAACATAGTTCAGGGACGCGTGGATGGCTCAGTTGGTTAAGCTCTGCCTTTGGCTCAGGTTATGATCCCAGGGTCCTGGGATCAAGTCCTGCATTCAGGCTCCTTGCTCTGTGGGGAACCTGCTTCTCCCTCTGCTTGTGCTTGCTCTCTCTCTCTCTCTAATAAAGAAATAAAAATCTTAAAAAAATAAAACATAGTACAAAAAGTTATGGGGACCCCCAGGACCAAGCAAAGTACCCAGTATGGAACAGAAGCTTAAAAATGTTTGCTAAACTACACTTGCAACATACATCTACTGCCTAGAGAGTTACATGGTCGTTTACTAAGAAATACATTAAAAGGACATTAAATCCCTCATAATTTTAAATGGAAAATATTTATGTTCACAATAAAATTCCAAAACTTCTATCAAATATTGACTCATTTACTTTTTAGCAAGCACAAAAATACTAACCTTCAAATTCAACTGAGACTTTCCAGTGTAAATTTTGAAGGTGACGACGAAGCTTATGGCTATTACAAGCTCTGAACTTCTCCTTAGGGCACAATGGACAAGACTGTTTGTTTCCTGACCGGAAAAAAAAAAAAAAAAGAACCAATAAAACACAGAATAGACTATTAATGCCTCGATTTAGCTATAAAAGAAGTAGCAGGGGACTCTCTCCACCCAACACACACACTTCTCAGATAATGTCTATGTTAACATTAGGGAGAGTCACCTCTGCCTCAACAGGTAGTAGTTAATAATCAGCACATGGTCAGTGATTGATTTTTTTTACCCTAAAACTCTCCTCTCTGGGGCTTGCTGATATCTTTTTTGGGGGGGGGGCTAGCTGATATCTATGTTGCCACTGGGAACAGAGAAAATGAGAAAGTGATAAAGTACATGATATGCCTGCAAGAGAGAGCATCACTATGTACTTTGGACAAGGGAGAAGGCAGTACCTGTCACGCTCCCAGAGAGGCAGGAGCAGGGCAGACAGTGTAAGCACCTGCTCTGCAGCAACAAAAACAGTGAACATGCAGAGTAAGAAAAACGGAAGGAGTGAAAGGAGTAAGTGGGATCCCAGATAACTGCTATTCTGGGCCACGGAGCATGGTTAGAGCCACCGTATCCTGTTAGTGAATTTCTAAGTTCTTCCTTCTTTATTAATGAAAAGATTATGGATTGTAAAAATAGAAGTCTTAATCAGAAATGTAATATATCTCAAATAAAAACTTTGATAGTAACAAAAAAATTAAAATCTCACATTCAGGTTTAAAACGATAAAAATATACAAAGATAATCAGCAACTCACTTAATTTTTAATCCAACAAATATCTTTAATATATAGCACACTGAAAGTATAGTCAAAATTAATTTTTCAATATACTCTGCTTACTTCAAAAAACCATGAAGTGATACTGAGGATGGAATTCAAGCACTAAGGATGGCAAGACAGTAAGAGAGGAGCTGGAGGAGTTTGAGGCCTGACAACAATGAGGAACTCTTGTTCCAGCCTTAAACTGCCCACCTGGGGACTTCGTTTACATGACCGAATATAAGCCTCTTGTTATTAAAGGCACTGTTTTTTGGATTTCTGTTACTTATAGCTAAATGCAATTCCTAACTTATAGAAGACACAGTCCTTATATATCCATGAAATTGTAATTTCCTTGAGGAACTGTGAAACAACTTGTCCCCACAGCACCTGTGAATGTAGAAGGCTACCAAATTCCTGAATGAAAAAGTTTTATTATTGCTCTAGTTCAGTGGCAATAAACAAGTCTACTCTCAGCAAATTTTCATGAGTTGAAAGATAAAAAGCCAACAGAAATTAAGGGGGGAAAAAAAAACCTTAAAAATATGGAAATACCTGCATCAAGATTATCTGAGTTCAATGAACTGGCAGAGTCAAAATCTTCAGCTACGAAGGCTAACTTCTCTAGATCAGCAAGCTGCCTCTGGATTGAGATGTGTCTCTCTGAAAGGAAATTTTAAGAGTTAGAAGATTATGTGTTAACAGTCTGAATTCCAGTTCTATTTTTATTTGATCACGTCACAGATACTCCACTTTTATTTCCTGTAGCATTGTGCCCTAGTGCCTAGATGGGGAATACTGCTGCAATTCTGCCTATAAAATGACAAGTGTGTCTCAGAATGCAAAAAGTTGGGGAACAAACTCCACTGTGTAACTTCACACCTTTAAAGTTTTATCTAATTATTCAATATAATTCTACAAAAAGATGTTTTTACTCTGTACAAAATGCTGAAGTAAGAAACATAAGCCACGCTTCCTATCTTTAAAGAACTTTCAACAGGGGCACCTGGGTGGCTCAGTCGTTAAGCATCTGCCTTCGGCTCAGGTCATGATCCCAGGGTGCAAGGATCGAGACCCGCATTGGGCTTTCTGCTCAGCAGGAAGCCTGCTTCTCCCTCTCCCACTCCCCCTGCTTGTGTTCCTTCTCTCGTTTTGTCTCTCTCTGTGTCAAATAAATAAAATCTTGAAAAAAAAAAATAACTTTCAACAGGCGAGAGAGATATTGATATGTTACCTACTAATACAATGCAGAATGAAATGAATACCAGGGGTAAAGTAATATGCTGTGGGCATACAGAGGAAGGAGGAATTAATCCCAGGAAGTGTCTTTGAGAATGTCTTCACTGAAAAAGTGGCATTTGACTGTGATATAAGGTATGAATAGAATTTCAATAAGCAGAGACTTGGTGGCTGGCCTTATAAACTGAAGTAATCTCATGAAAAGCATAAGGTGTAAAAAAAAATACAGCCTCTATCCCACCCCTGTTGGAATGTAGTATGTCTGAGGATGGAAGTGGTAGAGAACAAGCAGTCAAAAATGTACAGATCATGAAAGGCTTAAATTCTATGTGTTAGTCTGGACTGTCCTCTTCTGGCAATGTGAAGTCTTTGTAGGTTTTTGAGGGAGTGAATGGTAGGATCTGAATGCATTTCAGGTTATGTCTGGCTGTAGAACCAAAGATCAATAACTGAGGTGAGAAGTTAGGAATACAAAGGTACCGAACAGATGGTTAAAAAAAAAAAAAAAGAACTTTGGGTGTGAGAAATAACCATGAATGAAGAGTGCATTCAAGAATGATTCTAAGATTTCAAGTTTATATGGTTGAGAGTAATGGTACCATTAACCAATAAAGGAAGAGGAAAACATTTTTGGCAGAAAAAAAGAGGAAAGGAGAAAAAGGAATTTAGTTTTTTTTTTTTTTTAAGATTTATTTATTTGACAGAGAGACACACACAGAGTGAGGAAACACAACCAGGAGGAGTGGGAGAGGGAGAAGCAGACTTCCCGCTGAGCAGGGAGCCCGATGCGGGGCTCGATCCCAGGACCCCGGGACTATGACCCGAGCCGAAGGCAGACGCTTAACGACTGAGCCACCCAGGCGCCCCAAAAGGAATTTAGTTTTTGACATAGTGTGTTTGATGTACTACTCGTACTCATCCTCAAGTTCAGTATGCAGTTGAGTTGTTTGGAGTTCAGGAGGGATATAAATCATAAATACATGGTAGGTGAAACTAGGAGTTGAAGAAAGCCTAAGGAAAAAAACATTGTGAAAAAAAGAGAAAAAGGCCAAAATCCAGTCCCAGTAACATATTTTTAGGTCTCTCAAACATTATACGTTCTTCAAATGACATATTTGTAAACTTTGGAATATATGAATAAATCTTTCCAAAGTATATTTAACATACTCTTGATTATCGGCATGGGGGATGCATTCCCTAATGCCACTAAACCCACTACTGATTAATATAAATGGTTACAATTCAGAAATGACATATGGAGGGATGTAGGTAATGTAAGAGACACTGAGGAAAAATAATCAGGAAGGTAGATTCAAAAACAATAAATGGTAAGGAGAATCAAGATAAGGCAGAAGCCAAGAAAAAAGAGAACATAAAAGATAACTGTTCAACACTAAGTATCACAAATAGTTGTAGAAATCAACAGAAAACTACTGGATTTAGTATTTAGCAGGTCTCCAGTGACCTTTAAGAAAAAAGGTTCAGGGGCGCCTGGGTGGCTCAGTTGGTTAAGCGTCTGCCTTTGGCTCAGGTCATGATCCCAGGGTGCTGGGATTGAGCCCCGCATCGGGCTCCCTGCTCAGCGGGAAGCCTGCTTCTCCCTCTCCCACTCCCCCTGCTTGTGTTCCCTCTCTCGATGTGTCTCTCTGTCAAATAAATAAAATCTTTAAAAAAAAAAAAGAAAAAAAAGGTTCAGTGAGGTGTTCCAGAATACAAATGGGATTGGAAGAAGAAATAAAGTATAGAAAATCACATAGATTTCAAAAAGTGTGGCAGTATAAAAAAGCAGATAGATCGTGCTTTTTCTTTCTTTTTAAGGAGAGACGTGAATATCCATAACCCAAAGGAATGTTTACAAAGTAGGAGCTTGAATATACAAATACAAGAAGACTAGGAGCTGAAAATTGGCAGGAAAAGATCCCCAACCAGAGAGATGATGGTAAACCATAGGGCTCCCTAGTACTCATTATTCAATTAGGTTATACAGTTTAGAACCTTAAAAACCTTTTAAATTCTGTTCTTGGTATTGCTACCTTCATGCCTATTCCTTTCCAAGCTTCACTCCCAGTTCCTTTTTTTCACTTCTATATAATTTGTGTCCTTGTTTGTTTCCCCCACAAATAAACAGTAAGCGGCAGGCGATATGACTTCCTCATTTTTGTAATGGCTAAGTGCCTAGTACAGTATCTTGCACACAGCAGGCACTATGGTTTATTAAATAATTTTAAAAAAATCATTGGTCTTTTGGATGCAGTAGCACACGGAGTCAATAATTTTGGAATTCAGCACTATCAGACATTACTGCTGAAATTTATTAAAAGACAAATTTTTACCTCATTTTTAAATGAGAAAAACAAAGAGCAACAAATCTTATTGTTTAACTTGTCATACTAGGTATTATTCAAATGACTTTATAATAAGATATAATTTCTATAATAGGCAAAACTTTTCCCTTATGAGCAAAAACTTAATTGCTAGGTGAGACCGCAAGATTCAGGCAATGAATCCATGTGTACAAATCAATCGTTTGAATTTGTAATCATAAAGGCTTTTGGCTTCCAAAGTTCAAAGTTCTGTTTACGTGAAATTATATAGTACTATATAAGCCTGTGCTTACTCAAATCATTCTAAGTTGTACAAAATAAGAGACAGGGGCCTGGTAAGTTAGAAGAGAACAATGAAAATCCTGTGGTCCACTATTAAAACTCTCAAAGATCTAAGGATTCATGATATGCCTATGTATGTATACCTCTCAAATCACCTTCTGTTTCAAGATAGTAGGTATCAGACAATCTGTACTTATATCACTCAAACTTTTTGTAACTTATTAATAATCCCGAAGTCAATAGGCAAACCTTTTGTTAAATCAGATGAATCCAAGATGCTAGAAGGTTCTTTTACAACTTCTGATACTTTTTCCTCATTTTTCAGTTCTATTTCAGATATGCCATCTTCATCTTGCCTAGTTAAGACTGATTTCAAAGGACTAACTAGACCACATAAAAATAATTTTTAAAAATGTGATTAATACATATTTCTAATGCATTTCAGATTTCTCAATCATTACATATTTGCCCCAGTAATGCATTTTTCAGGATTCTCAAACATCATACATTCTTCAAATTACATACTTTAAATTTTGGAATATATATCTTCCCAAACTATGTTTAACACTCTTGCTGGTGGGGAGGTGGAGAAAGCACACATTCCCTAAAGCTGCTGAACCAATTCTGATTAATACAAACAAATTCAATCTAGAGGTGAGGAGGGGAGGCGAGTGAACCCCCCCCCCGTTGTTGTGGGTGAAGAAACAACTGTCCTTATTTTGCACCTACTAGCTCTGATCTTATATGAGAGGCATACCTGAGGCATGCCTTTTGTCTTTTCTGTGATCAGCTCTACTTTTTTTTTTTAAAAGGACTTAAATCATTTAATTAATTTCCCCATAATTTACAGATGAGGAAACTGAGACCCAGTCAGCTCTACTCTTTAATCTACTATAACAATTTTTATGTGGCTTTAAAATTTCAAAGTAACTCTATTAGACTACAACTACCCAAGTGTTGTATAAATATTAAATTCGCAACTGTCCTAGAAGTAGGAAAGAAAATGAATTATTTTGTTATAATTCAGAAAGAGCATAAGGGTCAATTTATGGACCACAAGATAATTAAAAAAAAAACTTTTAGACTTTACACTTAAAAGTGTTCAGAAGATTCTTAAGGGTTTCTCTTTATGGTCCAATAAATCACCACTTAGAAAACATGCAAACACATACATTAGCACAACACGGGCTATTAATTTTCAACAGTCCACTTCTGATGGAAGGGAGTGCAAAACTCAATTGGTATTTATGACTAAGGGAAGACATCCATAATTTAGTCGACTTTTTCTTAAACTACTTATCAGCCTCAAATTCTTTTTGGAAGCAAGCTGCTGAAGAAAATAATAAGAAAAACCCATCTATTTGTGTATATCGAGCATAAAAACTAGTTGATAGCAATGGTTTCTAAATCTTGGCAGCTAGGATCTACTACAGTAAACAGGCTGCCTTGGTTACCATGTCACATTTCGAAGGATTTTAGTGAACCATCGCAGACAGGGCTGAGAGGGAAACTACCAAAGTAGTGTAACTTCTATCTTCGTAGCACAAAAAGACCCCCTTTAACGAAGAAGCCCTCAACCTCATTATTTCCTTTTATCTGCAGCACTCCTGGCCTCCACAAATCCTTCACCATGATGTCCTCGAGGTTTGTGCCTTCTCCCATTCTGTACCCGCTTTACCCGCTACACGGGTCCCTCCTTCCTCCCCCCACATCCCTAAACCTGCCTTTCCCCATTAAACCAACCCAGTGAAGAAGGGCCTCCCCTACTCCCCAGCAAGGCGCACTTTCTCGCTTCTTTTGCGGCAGAAAGATCTAGGCCTCCTGCACTTACTGCTTTCAGCCTCGTCAGGGGCAGAGGCTAGGGACGGGGACAGGGCCGGAGCCTGGGCCAGGGCAGGGGCTGGGGCTGGAGCCGAGGCCGGAGTCGGAGCCGAGTCCGGGGCCGGGGCCGAATCCGGGGCGGGAGCTGGGACCCGAGCCGAGTCCGGGGCCGGGGTCGGGACCTGGACCTGGGCCACCTCCACCTCCTCCTTCTCCTGGGTTAGCAGCTCCTCCTCCGCCATATTCTCCATAGTTACCGCCTCCGTGCCAGGCCCGCCCGGGGACCAGGAGGGGCTCACGGCGGGGTGAGAGAACTGGCGTGAATGCCCAGAGGGCTGGATCCAAGGAGTGGGAAAGCAAATGGGAAGGGCTGGATGCGTGCAACAGACAAAAGATGAAGAACCAGTGACCAAATCCTGTCAGCAGAAAAATAAAAAGCCAGAGGCAGCGATTCGCAGTCCCGTCCGCTTCCCTTTCCCCGAGGCGTTACGACGCCACCACAGCCTGCGCAGAAACGTAATGGGGACGGCGTCCAATGAGGTAAGAGAGTTCTGCTTCCGCGGTGCGTCTCCGTTCCAGCCGTCAACCAAGGAAGCGAATCAAGACTACAATACCCAGGGTGCAGCGCGCCAGCTGGGGCGGAGCCGGAGTTCCAAGTCCTTGGAGGAAGTAAACGCAAAGCTAAACAAACGCTCGGAGCGTCGGAGTAGTAGTCTGGGTCCCAGTGCAGGACTACATTTCCCAGCGAGGATCGGGTCCGCTGGGGGGGACCCTTTTTCATGGTCTGGGCCTCCGGAGTCGCCACCGCTGCGGGCGCTGGTAAGGTAACTGGGGCGCTAGTTGACGTTTTGCTGGGCAGGTTCCCACCTCTCTCCCTCCAGTATCCTAGCGGGGGGCCAGCCGGCCAGAGGATTCCGGAGGCCCCTCAAGCCTGGGCGGGGCGACTCTGTAGGCGTATCCGGGGTTGAGTCCGCTCAGCGAAGGGTGTGGTTCTGGTCGGCTCTGCCTCTGGAGTTGCCCCTCGCTCGGAGCGAGAGTCTGGTTTCTTCCTGCGGAGCTTCGGCCGCGGTGGCTTACGAGCAGCTAACTAGCTTCCCCGCTAGTCTGGTTGATTTGGAATGGGGTCTGCGCTTCCTTTCGCACCTTCATCCACACCGTGACCTGAACACGTCTCCTTTTGTCTTTATTTTGCTTTAACCTACATATTCCTGTTATCATCAGCACTGCCCTGTGGTTGTAGGGGTTCTGTGGGTAGAGAAGAGTCTGTGTTTGTGCGCGCGCCCTTCGCTTGTAGTTAGACTTAATAACCAGAGCTCCGAGTGTGTTGAGCTTTGCGGCACCTGGTTGATGCAATTCAGATTCCACACGGCGTTTGCCAGTGAGTCCTCTGGCCCGCGTACTTCTCTTCCCTTTACTCTCCGGCCTCCTTGAACTTAAGTTTTTCACGCATTCATGCCCCTGGCGCAGGCAGAGGAAAACTTGAGTTTTCTGGCTGCTCTTTCTTCCCGGACTGGTCCGAATGTTATATTATAGGCAGCAGGGAAGGAGAGGGAAGCCCCTTTTAGTCTTAGGAGACTCACACTTCCAGCTGGGTTTTTCCTAGTTCATAAAGCTGATACTTAATGCCTACCTATATCATTGGTCTATTTATTTCCTACTTGTTTCGGAGCCCAGGTGAGAGCAAGTGTGATTATTTGGCACTTTGAAAGTGTAACAGAATTAGTTACCACCTCCCAACCCCCCAGTAGTTAGGAAGTGTACCGGTAGGCTTTTCCCCCCTCCTTCCCTGGTGAGTTATAGTTCTAAAGTCCTCATAATGCCTTCAACCTCAACTTTAAAAAAATATTTATTTATTTTAAGAGAGAGCACGCGAGTGGGGGTAGGGGGGCAGAGGGAGAAGGAGAGAGAGACTCCCAAGCCGACTCCTGTACAAGTGCTGAGTTGGAGGCGGGGCTGATCCCACCTGCCCCAGATTAGGACCCCAGCAGAAACTGAGTGCCATGCTCAACCCACCCCAACTTTTAACTAGTTTTCCTGAATGTATAACAGCCTCACTGCTCTTAACAGTCAATTAAAAATGGGAAAATGACACGTTATAATCTACGGGAATGAGTAGTGGCTAATAATATTTGTACATCATCAAAGCATCACTGATTTTTTTTCTATTTCCAAAAGGCTAGATGGTTAATTGAAAGCTTGATTCACTGTATCAGTCTCATTATTTAACACCAGCTGGAAACCGGAAGATGAAAAGGGTTAGATTTTAGCGTGTGGATTCTATGGGAATTTTAATAAGAATTTTTAAGCATGGTCTGTGCTCTTGAGACATTCTAAAAAAAAAAAAAGGAATCTTCAAAGTTTGAAGATTATATTAAGTGACTGTATTATTCATCTATTGCTGCCTAAGGTATCCTAAAATTTAGTGGTTTAAAACAACAATAAACATTACCTCACAGTTTCTGTGCCTCAGGAATTCAGAAGTGGCTTTCTGGGTGGACCTGGTTCTGAGTCTCAGGAGGTTGCAGTGAAGATATCAGCCAGGGATGCTTCCACTCAAAGGCTTGATTAGGGCTGCAGGATTAGCTTCAAAGCTGGCCCGCTCACATGCCTGGCAGTTGGTTCTTTTTTGGCAGTGGGCTTCAGTTCCATGGGCTACTTGATTGTCCTCATGATATGGTGGCTGGCTTTCCCTAGAGTGAGAGAAAAACACAAGCCACAGTGTCTTATATGACCTAGCCACATACTGCCATATGGCAGTTCCTATTGGTGTCACAGGCCAGCACTATTTAGTATGAGAGGACTCACCTGAGAGTGTAATTACCAGGCAGCAGAGATCATCAGGAGCCACTTTGGAGGCTGGCCGACTCAGGAAGTCTCCCTTTTGAGTTGATATTTTGATTTTCATGAAATCAACACGAATTTCACACTATTATAAAACATTTGTCATGGTAAACATATATGTGTTTTTCCTCTGATAGTCCACTATCTTCAGAGATTTTTTTTTTCAATTGGTTTATGGGTGAGGTTGAAATTTAGCCTTATTTTGTATTCAAAGCAGCAACGTAAGATGAACGTGGATCAGTTTAAATTGTAGAAGTTAACATAAGTAGTCCATTGCCTCTAAACAGTTCATTTCATAGAATTTATTATTTTTTTTATTGTACCTTTCCCCAACATGGAATAGAATCTTTGGAAGAAGAAGGAGAAAAGATTATTCCTCTAATCTGGAAGCTGAACTGTGAATTCAGTTGTTGCCATACATTATCTTACAAAGCAAAATTTTGGGGTAAATTAGGATCGTTCTTAGAAGTGTATATTAAATATTCTTTAATTTTTATTAGATTTTCTCTTAGCTGTCAGCATTTTCTTTCTCTTTATATTCATCGAACCTTTCTAAAAGTTTGATTTGATCATTCTTTTATAGGACTTCACTTACTGTGGTCACGACTGACCATGAGTTCTTGAAATTGCCTGTTTTCTAGCCTTTCTTACATTCATAGCTTCCATATGTGTCACTATCAGCAATAAACTCTCCTCTGGGCTTTGCTGCTAGACTCCTTTTATATCTTCCTGTCCCAGCAGACCTCATGAGGTTCCCATTCTCTGGCCTTTCGATTCCAGCACAGTATTCTTCTGTTACACACTAAGTTGAATGGAGGGTGTGTCAGGAAAATAGAGACTTAGAACGAATTGGTTTTGGGGTACCTGGGTGGCTCAGTTGGTTGAGCGGCTGCCTTCGGCTCGGGTCATGATCCCAGGGTCCTGGGATCGAGTCTCGCATCGGGCTCCCTGCTCGGTGGAGAGCCTGCTTCTCCCTCTGCCTCTCTGCCTACTTGTGCTCTCTCTCTGTTAAGTAAATAAATAAAATCTTTAAAAAAAAAAAACGAATTGGTTTTGAGGCATAGGTTGGGCAAAATACAGCAGTCCTATAGGCAGTTGAAAATGGTGATCTGAAGCTTGAGAGAGAAGGTTAGGGCTAAAGGCACAGTTTTGAGAGGTCATTCCTAAAAAGGTGGTAGATGAAATTGAAGGAGAGGAAGAGATCATTATGAGGGAGACTGTAAGTGAAATGAAGTAGAACAATGAGAGAATCCTGTTGTCTTGGGAATGGTTATAAGATGGAAATCATTTTGTAAAACTCCAGTCTTTATAAAACTGAAAGAAGACTAATTTCTGATGTATTTTGTTGTGATGGTGGTTAAAACAAAAAACACCTAATGTGTTTTTTATTTTAGCTTTTCAAAATGTCCAACAGAGAATCTTGTGGAGAAAAAGAGAAGTCTCGGAGAAAAGGCACCCCTGCATCACCCAACTTTGACTTAGAAGTAAGAATTTTGATTTACTGACCCAAAGATAACTTTTTTTGAGGTTCATTTTTATGTAATGAAAAAAAAACCCCTCAGTTTTACGTAGGTGTGTGAGATATGTAAATGAGATATGTGAATGTTTTGTTTTGCCCTTCTGACCCAGGGGAAGTAATTTGTTTTTCCCATTCTCCCTCCCCCATTCTTTACTTGCATTTTATTGATTGCTCACAACTGTATGAGGTAGGTACCATTATTATCCCAATTATACAAATGCCAGAACTGAGGCTTACGTAAGTAATTTGCCTAGGCATTCCTGACTTGACTCTAGGTCCCCCAGATTCTCCTTTACATAGAAATAACTCACCAGTAGACCTTTTTGCACATCACCTTTGTCATTTACTCAGCATTGAATAAGATTTTATGCTCATCAGTCAGAATGGGCTATCCTGTGCAGGGGAGGCTAGGGGTAGGGAATGCATGCTCACACTGCTTTAAGAAGTATTTTACTAGATGAAATTTAGGATATTCAATTAATTGAGCTGAGTGTTGTCTCCAGGACGCAAGAGTGCAATGTGACTGATGTAACAAAACAAAAAAAACCCTGCAATTAGTTTTTTTTTTAAGGATTTTTAAACAAGTTTTTATTTATTTGACAGAGACAGAGAGGGAACACAAGTAGGGGGAGTGGGAGAGGGAGAAGCAGGCTTCCCACTGAGCAGGAAGCCCGATGTGGGGCTCAATCCGAGGACCCTGGGATCATGACTTGAGCCGAAGGCAGATGCTTAACCGACTGAGCTACCCAGGCGCCCCACCCCCTGCGATTAGTTTTATTATAAACTCTCAGAATAGTCTGTATAGTGCATCATCAGAATTAGACAATGTTCATGCTGTAATACCATCCACAATGAGAGACTAAAGTCTAGCAAAGGTGAATATTCCCTATGGAAGTAAGGAATGATTTCTCTGCTAGCAGATGAGTTCATAAGGCCTTTAGATGACCTGGATAAAGTATTCTAGGGATCATTACACTTTTTGGTGTTTGTTCTTTGCTTACTAACTTTCTGATTACTAATTTGGCCTCCCAGGTATAGAGATAATTGGAAAGGTGACCCTGGGGGCGCCTGGGTGGCTCAGATGGTTAAGCGTCTGCCTTCAGCTCAGGTCATGATCCCAGGGTTCTGGGATCGAGTCCCGCATCGGGCTCCTGGCTCAGCAGGGAGCCTGCTTCTCCCTCTCCCTCTGTTCATGCTCTCTCTGTATCTCTGTGTCTCAAATAAATAAATAAAA